GTTTCGCAGATATGCGTAAACGTCGTAATCAAGGATGGCCTTGAAGTAGAGGATCGCACAAGTCGGACCATCCGGCCAGAAAAGCGGGCTGTCCGTGCCTTGTAAATCCGCTTGTGGCAAAGCTCAATGACCTGAGCAAAGTTCACAACGCGAGCATCATGGAGCGCTGCTCTGTGCAATTTGGGGCGGTTGCAAGTTGGAAACCGTGCCACCAATTGCGCTGGCACCTTTGTGAAGGCCAACAGGAGCTGATGCGTCAATCAAGTCCGCTTTTATGCATGAACAATCCATTAGGGCCCGACAAACCATTAAGGCCCACGACGGTAAGGTCAGGAACTGAGCCGGCTTGGTGCAAGGTTGTTTTACACAAAATGGTTGTTACGTTTGAGATGTCTAGAGGGATTTAGCCATTTGAGTTATTTCATGGAGGACTTTAGTTAAATTGACAAAGCTTCCGTTTACTATTTTAGTGTTATTCTTGACTTTGCGAAAAAATAACATGCACGAGAATGGGAGCATTTCAAACAGGATTGCAACCAGTTAAATTTTCAGTTCACGCTTTTTCCCAAAGGCTCCGAGATTGAAAAAAATCAGTCGAGATTGAAAATTTCAATCGAAGATTGAAATGGTTTAAAAATCAATCGATTTCAACTGAAAACACAAAAAAAACACACAAAGTCAAAAATCAACCGAAAAATCAATAGAAAATTCAATCGAAAATTCACTCGCGAAACCCTATGTTGGACAAGCAATATGTGACCCTTCACAAGCACACTTATATATGTGTGGCTATCCAGCCAAATTAGAGCCAACAAGCTCCCAGCTAGCCCAGCCAGCGCGTTTTTCATTCCATATCCAAGTTGAGCTCACCTTTCAAGAGCATGTGAAAGGACAGTGCAAACTTGTCCAGCACTTTGGCAGGAAGTTCCCATGCAGGTGTCCCCTTCACACTAGCCTGTGCAATCTTGGTCATTAGTGACATGAAAGACTCAGGGCCATAGCACCAGCAAGCCCTTGGGGCCAAGTGCTGGCACTGTGATGGGAAATGTGCACAAAGGTGGTGCTTCTGCACAATTGCCACCTGTACTGGGATTTATTCATGGCATCTTTAGCCAGCCAGCTGGAATGCGCAAGGGCTACTCTGCATTGTGTTCCAAACTCAGCAGCAACTGGCTCAGGCCGAATGTTTTCTATCACAAAGGTTGTAGATTATGTCCATTGCTTTGCACAGGGCCAGCATGTGTTTCCCTGTTGTGTGATCTGAGGCGTACATATCTGCCAATTTTAGGGCCAGGTGCAAAAGCCCTGACCCTTCTACCTTTCACCTGCTTCAGCACAGGGTACTCTTTGCCACCTGCGCACACATCAGACAAATTCAGCTTTGGAAGCCTTTTCCCAGAAGGGGTTTCAAGATCATGATAAATCTTGGCAATCAATGTGTTTATTGCATTCATAGAGCTTGGCCTCGACCCAGGCAGAATATCTTCAATGGTGACCCAAAGCAAATTCCCATATATGTGGGCTGCAACACCAAGGTCCATCATGTGCAAGAGGTCAAGTTTGGTGGTCCACCAGCAAACTCCTGGTATCTTACAAAGTGGATGGTCAGCAGGGGCTTTGTCCTTGAGTGTTTTGATGCTGCGTTTCCAGCACGCATCGTCTCTGAAATCTGTAAATGGCATTGTGCCACCTTCAAATAAATTTTCTGCATTGCAGTACGGGCAGCATTTGCTTGGCATGGCTGTAGGCCAACCAAATTCTTGAGAGTACCACTCCAGATCCCCTACGATGACAAAAAGAACTCCTTTTCTGACTGGTGTGCCATCAGCAAGCTTCCCCGACGCCAGGTGATTGAAACTCTCAGCAATAGCTTCCCAAATAGGCTGCCAGCTGCTGTCAGCCCTTGCACTTTTTGTTCAGAATATTGAATGCTCACACTGCTGATCACACATCTCATGCTGACCACCTGCATGGAATCCACTTCAGAGAATGGGGCCCCATCACCATGCAGAAGCCAGGGGATGGGCAAGTCCGTTCCTAATCTACACAAGTTGACATCGAAAAGGAAAATGAACCCTTCCAAGTCCACATTTTTCCAACACAATTTGCATGCCAGCAGCTGGTTGTTCTTTTTAAAATCCTGTTGCTTCCAGAAACTTGCGAGGTCACCAGGCTTTGCTGTAACTTCCTGCAGTAGCTCATGATGCTCCAGACTTTGCACCCACATATGTGGAAGCATCACAGGCACTCCTTCGTTGCTCACAGTTGGCTCTCCAAAAGTGCCTCTAATGCGCACACTTGTTGTAACCGTGTGAGGCACAGGTGTGAGCAATGACTTGAAGTGTAACCTGCAAAGGTCCCTGCGGGTGTTTTGCGGGCTTCGCCCACGGCCTCCAAGCCTTTGTAGACTGATCAGATCACTGTGGCTGGCACCAAATTTTACAGCTGCATCAGCATACTGTTGAACTTCAACTGCAGAAACTTTCCCAAGGGCAAACTTGTGTAAAAGCAGTGTGCAGAGAGGAGAGTGTGCTTCTTCAGGTTCAGGCCCATGCTGCTCTAGTTCTAGAACCCTTTTTCTACCCATGTGGCTTCCAGCCACCTAAAAAAACCAACTACAATTACCGTAGCTACCAATTGGCTACTTGACAAACTAGTGCTTGGGCCAGGAACACAGGCATGTGCAAACCAACCATTTCCAAGACATGCAAATGCTGGCTGGATAGCCAATGACACATGCAACTGCTGGCTGGATAGCCATACAAGCACATGTACATGCATGTGCTCAAAATGCAAAGCTGGCTGGATAGCCAGGGCTGGCTGGATAGCCAGGGCACAAGCGCGGTGCATGTTTTCCTCTAGGTGCTGCTGCCATGGCTTCTGTTCAAGCCCTCTCACTCATCCTCTTCTTCACCATCTTCCTGGCTTTTGGCTTTCGGCTTTTTGAGCTTCATCTTTTGCGCTTTTTTTGACTGTCCCAAAGCTTGGAATGCTTCAATCAGAGCACTCTTGCACTCCTCCTTCTTGAGCCCCGATTTCAAGACCTTCTCACACTTTTTGAGGCTGGTTTCCAGGCAGGCGATGGCTGACTTGACGAAGGCGATCTCCTCTTTGTGTTTCCCTGGCTCCTTTTTCATGTCAATCAGTAGCGAGCTTAGGGCTGCCTCATCCTTGGTAATCTCAGCTTTTAAAGGCCAAGAGCGTCTTCTGTAGGGAGTCCTTGTCATCAGCTTTGCCCACCTGTGAGAGTTCCTCCCACTTGTTGGCTTTGTTCTTGTTCTTCAAAATTGGCTTTGGGTCATCCTCATCATCTTCTTCAACTCCTTCTCCCTGGTTCTTGAAGAAACCCCTGAGCTCTGGCTCCATCTCCATTTTGTCAACCTTTGTCTTCATCAGGCCAAAGTTCTTATCACTCAGCTCATCGAGTTCCATGCCGTCGTGTTGAAGCCATTCATCCTTAGAGGCCTTGACAGCCCCTGAGTTGTACGAAGTTCCTCGCTTCTTTTTCTGGGCAAAGGACATGAGTTCTTCAGCGTCCACAAACTCCATGAACCTTCTGGCACTTTTGCTGGTCCTGTATTTCATTCCCATACTTGTCCACCATTTGTTCCAGGGCTTGAAGATGTAGGTGATCTTCTTCTCACTTGTGTTTTCGAAGCTCAGCATGGCTGTCTTGTAGCGCTTGGCCAGTTGGCCACCATCAATCACCCAAATTCTGAGCAGAACGTGATTCTTTTCCTGGCTACCTGTCCCTTTGGTGACATCCTTGTATTGCAGAAATCCTAGACTTCTCAAATTTCTTCCAAAGAAGTTGCTGCTCTCCAGGTGGAAGGAGTTTGATGAGTTCACCAACTTTCTTGGGGTCTGAGCGCTCTTCCTTCAACAGTGCCTGGTGAGTAGTAATGTTCTCTTCTGTCAATTTGGCCCTCTTTGGATCCTCCTCACTCTCTTGCTTTGAGGCTGGCCTTTTTTTCAAAGACACCTCCTTGTCTGCAGTCTTCTTTCCTTTTGTTTGCCATTGCCAGAAAATGTGGCTCCGGGTTTGCGTGCTAGAAAATGCTGCTTTAGCCCAAAAATGCAAAATTCATGAATATTCATGTGTATTCATGTGTATTCATGTGTCTTCATGGGTCTTCATGGGTCTTCATGGGGCTTCATGGGTCTTCATGGGTCTTCATGGGTCTTCGTCTTCATGGGTATTCATGTGTGTTCATGCGCCAGCTACATCCAGCCACCAACCAACATGGGAAGCCCTGCTAAGCACTACAGAACCTATTCCCCAACAAAACTACCCCCACGTGGCTATCCAGCCAGCACACTTGTGCAACTCCAACTCCCTGGCATTTTCCAACACATACCAATGAACACACTCAATGAGCTCTGTTTTTCACTGGCTTCAATTGGCTTGGTTTCTCAGCACTGTGGCTGGGCTGCAAGTAGAGCAGCTCTAGTACACAAGGCCGGCCAGGCCTCCTCTCATTGTCATGGCTTCTCACTCATGGTATGGTGGCTTTTCTCTCGTGGTGGCTTCTCTTCTTCTGGTTCTCATCATGGCTTCCTTCCTCATGTTTTTCCTTGTAGAGGTCTTTGCAGGCTGTGTCGCCTCTGTATAGCCGTTGCACTGCTTCATCATGCAGCCTCTGCAGTTCTGAGATCTGAGTTGGGAGTGCTTGCCACGTACGACATGTTCCAACATACCTTGCACGCACTGAAGTGCTTGTGGTGTTGATTGAAATACTCAGGGCCTAGGTCACCTTCATACATAGGGGCTGTGTTCTCCTCTTCATTGGCTGGCTTGGTCTCATCAGCACCCCCCTCATCCTCACCCATCATGAACTCCACTTCTTTTGCAGGGTTCTCTCACTGGCTCTCCTCTTCATTATTCATTCCTGCACTTGCGCTCCTCCAAGAAGGTTCCCCTCCCTCATCATCCACTTCATACGCATGGTCGTCCACTGTGTCCTTCATGGTGATGTTGTTGGTGAGGACCTGAATGAAACCACTGAACTCCACATAACCACCACGGATGTGTATCTCTTCTTGCTGGTATTGGTAGAAGGCTCTCCTCATAAATGCTCTATGGCTTTCATGGGTACCAGGTTCCATCTGGGTCACAAAGCAGGCCTCCGCAGATAATGCTGACAGAACATATGGGAATGGGATATCTGGAGCGTTACACTCCCATAGGTGCCGCATGTTCTCCTTTCAGAGGTGTGCAGCGGTGCCCCCTTGGGCGCTTCTCACTGAGGTGGACCCCTTTCCTCCTGCAAATGGCACATCAACCATGCGTGCCTCTTCTCCATCCAGCTTGTTGAGCTCCTCGGTGTGTCTGTCCTTGCTTCTTTGGTGGCTGGCTCCTCAATATCTGCAGGCTGATCCTCTTTAGGTTCCTCCTCTTTAGATTCCTCCTCTTTAGGTTCCTCCTCTTTATAGGGTTCTCCTCTTTAGGCTCCTCCTTTGGCAGCGGTGGCTCCTTTTCCATTTTGTTCTTGTTTTGGTTTTTGCCTTGAGGCTCTGGTTCCCCTGCACTCCATCCTTGCTGTTCTTGATCACTGCCTCCCTGCCATTGGTTTCCTCCACTGTTGGAACTCCACCCTGAGCCCCACCACCCTGACCTGGACATGGCTGCACTGGCTCTCACAACTAAGTTGTGAGACCGAGCTTGGCTACCTTGACCCCGAAAGTCCTTCATCATGTTAATTGGCATCGAACAACTGCACAAGTGCAAACGCATCATTTGTGGCTATCCAGCCAGCAAACACACTCAAAACTAACACACAGGCAAGCGCAACATGGCTATCCAGCCAGCAAAGACACTCAAAACTAACACACAGGCAAGCACAACATGGTTATCCAGCCAGCAAACACACTCAAAACTAACAGACAAACACCAGTGACTATCCAGCCAGCTTCTACATGCGCATTCGTGGCCATCCAGCCACCGGCTACTACTATTACATGGCTATCCAGCCCCCCCCCCCCCCCATCACCCCGACATGGCTATCCAGCCATCACCCTGTTTTGCCTATAGCCACATTTATGCATTTGAAATTCACTACAGGTTGGCTTTTGCCACCAGCACCTTTCCTAGATTGGCACCCTTTTCAAGCATCTTCATGAGCTTGGTTGCTGCATTCCTATTTTGGTCTACGTTGTGAAACTTGCTAACAGCAAAAAGCTGCCTGCCCTGCCTCACCCTCACTGCAACACTTTTGGTTTTCTTGATCTGCAGGCTTCCTGTCTTGAAGGTTTCCCGTCTCGTCATGCTTTTGCTTCTTGGCTGCGTCCTTCTTTGAAGCTGGCCTCTTAAGATTGGCTGTGGGCTTCCCTGCAGGTTTTTTCATCAGGCTTTTCAAGGTTTTTGTCCTGGCTGGCACTGGTGAAGTCTAAGGGCCTCTTTCAGCAAAGTGCTTTGTGTCTCAGATTGATGGCTTTGTGCTAGGCAAGTCCTGCTGACTGCTGGGCTGGCCATCCTCTTCATCCTCCCCCACCAAGTTCTTCAACTCCTCTAGCTTTACCACCCTCGGCTACATGGAACAAAAGTCAAAGCTGTTTTTTAAAGAAAAGGCAAAACGCGTGCTAATAGTGCAGCTGCATGGCTGTTTGTCAGTCAGGTTCTTGCAGGCCTCCTGGAATTTTTTCTCATTGTAATGGAGCCTCCTGGCATGGCTACAAATGATCATGGTTGCATCGCTCAAGTAGTGTGCCAAGTTGGCCCTCTTCTCCAAGTTGAACTTGTGCTTGAGGTCAGGGAAGGTCTTCTCAAGCTCTTTGTAGATGTTCTTAAGCTCTGAGTACTTAAAGACAAGCTCTGGGTTCACCTGGGCTAGGCCCCGTAAAAATTCAAGTTGCTCTGCGAGCTCCTTGCCATTCACTGCCATGGGTCTAGTTATGTTGAAGTACTCCCCAAAATTCAGTGAGCCCTCCAGTCCAGATTTTCTCACATAGCTTTTGAGAATATCCAGCAAATGTTCCATGTCCCACTGTGGTGTTTTTGACCTCCTCGCTCCACCTTTTCCCATACCATTGGGTGGCGCCAGCTGGGGTGGAGCAAAATGGATGCTGGATTTTCATAAGCAGTGTGTCAGGCACATGGCTATCCAGCCATCCAGCCAGCAGTGTGTGAGGCACATAGCTATCCAGCCAGCAGTGTGTGAAAGCCAGCAGTATATGTGAAGCACATGGCTATCCAGCCATCACTCATGGCTATCCAGCCATCTCTCATGGCTATCCAGCCATCTTATGGTTAAAGCATGGGTGGTTCAAGGTGAAAATGAGAGTAAGGTACTTCGAAACACTGCCCAATGAGAAGTACGCATGCAATGAAGATTGCAACTCAAGAGCACAGAACACAAAAGAAAAAAACAAAGAACAAACAGTCAAACAAATCAATCGAAAAATCAATCGAAAAATCAATCGCGAAGCCTGCAAAATTCAACCGAAAAATCAATAGAAAAATCAATCGTGACTTGATCTTGCAAGACATGCCAAACCTCAAATCTATTGATTTTTGTCTGTTTTCAATCGAAGATTGAAATGGTACAAAAATCAATCGACAAATTAATTTTTTGCAATCGCGGAGCCTTTGGGTTTGGTGGGGTTGAAGGAGACCTGCCGCGATTGTAAGATAGAAAGGCCTTGCAAAAAGCCTTACAAGAACACGAGGAGTCCTACAAAGGCCTGTCTTGCATGAACCTTACGAGCCTAGGGCCCATACGAAAAAAATACGGCCTTGAAAGTCGAGGCCTTTGAAGGCCTTGTAAGACACCTTCCAAACCCTTGTAAAGCTCTTGTAAGGCTTTGTGACAGGCCTTGTCAAACTTCTTGTTGCCTTTCTTGTCAGTCCTTGTAAGGCCTTGTAAGACTGTGAAACTTTAAGCTGAGATGCCTTGCAATGCCTCATGAAAATGCCTGCTGCGAAGCTCCTCCTCCTCCTTGTGAAGCCTTGTAAGGCTCCTTAGACGGCACCCTAGTTGGAGAAGAACTTGGCTTTGACCAGGTGGCCTTGGTGATGTCTGGCCGAGCGCTCGCAACAAATGCATTCGCCGCACTCCAAGATTGATTTCCTGCGCGGTGAGCAGGGATACCTCTGGATGGAAGACTTGCGCTTGAGCAAGGTGTGGTGCGTCCAAACGGGTCCAAAATGGGGTGGCACAACACATGCTGAGCAAGCCTCCAATCGCAAAAAGCCGGAGATTGAGATCCGTGCCTTCCGTCCACCTGGTTCATCTTCTGCTTCCAGAAAGTCACCTTCGTGGAATAAGATGTTGGTGGCAAGGTCAAAGCCATTTCCTGACCTCAAACGACCAAGCAGGAAGATGACATTAAGCAGGAGGAGCTGCCGACATTGATGAGGACGTCGTTGCCGATGGCATCAACGAGGGTGCTGAGGCACAAGCCCAGGAGATGCAGAACCTCCTCACGCAAAGAACGAGCGGCGCAGAGACTTCAAGGCCATGCCAGGCCAGAAAGGATCGCTGGTGGATGCTAACTGCATGGCACGCAGCACATGTGACAACTTGACTCACTACTCTTGTGTGAACTGTAAGAACGTTTGCCGCGGAAGTTGCCGCATTGGCGGCCATGCCGTTGGTGCAACACGCTTTCCACCAAGTTCCAGGAGTCTCTGGCGGTCTGGTTGTGGCGGAGGACAACGGAGGATGTTCAGCGAGCGGTTTGCGCCCAATACCGCCACCTTGCTGACACCAGGAGAAATTTGGAGTGTGGCAGTTACACACTCTGCTCCGGCAGAGCGTCAGGAAGCATAACCGCATCAGGGGTCGCTTCTCGCAGTTCAGCCAGCCGTGGTCAACAGCGGTGTGGGGGGGGAATTGTCCGGCAAGACTAACGCCAGGGACAATATGCGTGGCAACGCGCTAGACTTGATGCTCATGAGGTTCAGGCCACGTCCTTCAACATGAGGACGCTCAACTTCGGCAACCTCTTGAGACTGCCAAAGCCAACAGGCTTGCAGCATTACATAATTCCAATTGCCTGTGTCGGGACTGCTCCGTCCTGGGCCCAACGCGCAGGACGCTTGCAAACAAGATCCATCTTTCGTAAAAGCCTGGCTAACATTTTGGCTTGTACCTTTCCCAGCAAGTAAAGGTGCGGCGCATCTCCCTGACTACAAGGGAGTGAGGTCTGCCCAGGCGTACCTCCGAGAACCAAGCACGGATCTTTCGCGAACACCACATTATCTTGCGCGTGCTCGCGCGGGGATGTAACCCAGCACCGGATTCAGTCTCGGGGAAAACGGTGCCCTTTGAAAAATACACATTTCCGATTTCCGACAACCAAACTCCCCGCCTGCTGATACATGGTGTGCCTCTCAGGCGACAGCACGCACCCGTGGCTCAGGCCCCCCTGTCGGCGGACTGGGTTGGGTCCGCTTGAAAGCTCCTTTCGCGCCGGGCTTGAACATCACCCCCACAAAACGAAACTCCATGAAAAACGGCCCAGACACGCACACACAGGGATATATTATGACCCCTGTAGAAATCAGTTGCAAAAGCACACAAGGAAAGCAAGGCAAGCGGGTTCGCAAAAAGCGGGCATCAGCCCTGCAAGTATCACTCTAGACGAGCAGCGCGATGCCTCCGAAAAGAAACCGTCTTTGATATTCGGACACTTCCGTTTCTGTTTGGGGCTGTTCCCTGCCAACCTGAATCCTCCCAGGTCTGGTTGTAGCGCTTGTTGTCCGAAAATGCTGAAGATTTGAACTACCCCGTTTAGAAGAAAATAATTGAACTACCCCGTTCAAAGGAAAGTACAGCGCATTCACCCCAACACTGAGTATTCAATTATCTTTGGTTAGCATGGCTGAAATATCAGCAGAAATTGGCGCAAAGCTCACCATCATCAGGGGCCAGCTGATCGAGCCCGTAAAGCAAGAAAATGTTTCATGGGTCTTGGCATCTTATCTGCTGGGCCGTGCCTTGCGCTTGCGCGCCCTCCGCAGCAGCTGGCCAAAACTGGGGTGCTCCACAAGCATCCAGGCCTTGGGGTGGGATCCATTTTCTCAAATCTTTCCATCCCATATCCCAGTATCTTCTAGAACTTAATGAACGATTAGGAATGAAAACAATCCGCCGACCCCTTCGCCTAAAGGGGGAGGCGCACGGGAAGGGCGATGGCAAGAATCGGCACTATCCTTGCCAGAGATGCTATCGCTGCAGGAATGCTGCGGGTGCTCCGGCCGTGTAGTGATGCTGATAATCAATGCTCAGGATCCTCGTCATGACTCGTTCTTAAGTCTTTTGTAGATCTCGTCTATATAGTCGTCCACGTTCATAATCGTCGTCATGATTCGTTTTCTGAAGTCTTTTCTATATCTACACACTGTTCAGGTGTACCGTTAGACCCGGCTTGACATGCAAGCGATGTGTAGTGATGGTTAGCTTCATTGCTGCTAGGGATGCTAGAGATGCGTAATGATGCTTATCCTCCACCTTCATTTTTTTACATGTTTTCTATATACATTTCAAGTGTCCCGTTAGACCCGGCTTGGCATCGTTCTACCTTGGCTTGAACGACATGCCCATGCTGGAGGACGCTTCGTTTTGCCGACCACCATCCTGTGCTACGATGATAGTTATCATGATAGTCATCGGCAGCTTTGGTAGTGCAGAGGATGTTGCGATGATACTTATCATGACAGTCGTCAGCCTTCTCATCATTACCCGTTTGATCTTCAAGATCTCTGATTCTGCAGCATTAGCAATGCAGACGATGCTACAATGATAGTTATCATGACAGTCTTCGGCAGCTCTTTGGTAATGCGGAGGATGCTACGAGCATAGTTATCATGACACTCATCGGCGTCTTTGGTAATGCAGAGGATGCTTCGATGATAGTTATCATGACGGCAGAGGATGCTACGATGATGGTTGTCATGAGAGTCATCATCCTTATCATCTTCATGAGGTTTGTCATCATAGTCATCATCTTTATCATCGTCATCATGATTGTCCTCATCATCTGTTTCTTCTATACATTTCAAATGTGGCGTTAGGCACCATTGGTAATGCAGAGGATGCTGTGATGGTGCTTATTGAGACAGTCGTCATCCTTATCATCGTTATCCGTATGATCATCATGATCTCTGCTTCTGCAGCATTGGTAATGCAGGGGGTGCTACGATGATAGTTATCATGACAGTCATCGGCAGCTTTGGTAATGCAGAGGATGCTGCGATGATAGTTGTCATGACAACAGAGATGCTACGATGGTAGGTGCCCCGGGAGTTATCATCCTCATCATTTTCATGATGATTGTCATCATAGTCATCACCGTCATCATCGTCATCATGATTATCAGCATCATCTCTTTCTTCTATACAATTCAAATGTGGCGTTAGGCACCCTTAGTAATGCAGAGGGTGCTGCGATGATAGTGACAGTCATCCGCAGGTTTGGTAATGCAAATGGTGCTACGATGATAGTTATCATAAGAGTCATCATCCTTATCATCTTCATGATGATTGTCATCATAGTCATCACCGTCATCATCGTCATCATGATTATCAGCATCAGCTCTTTCTTCTACACATTTCAAATGTGGCGTTAGGCACTCTTGGTAATGCGATGATAGTTATCATAACCGTCATCCGCAGCTCTGGCAATGCAGAGGGTGCTACGATGATAGTTATCATAAGAGTCATCATCCTTATCATCTTCATGATGATTGTCATCATAGTCATCATCTTTATCATCGTCGTCATGATTGTCCTCATCATCTCTTTCCTCTATACATTTCAAATTTGGCGTTAGGCACCCTTGGTAATGCAGAGGATGCTACGATGATAGTTATCATAACCGTCATCCGCAGCTCTGGTAATGCAGAGGATGCTACAATGATAGTTATCATAAGAGTCATCATCCTTATCATCTTCATGATGATTGTAATCATAGTCATCATCTTTATCATCGTCATCATGATTCATCATCTCTTTCTTCTATACATTTCAAATGTGGCGTTAGGCACCCTTGGTAATGCAGAGGATGCTACGATGATAGTTATCATGACAGTCATCCGCAGCTTTGGTACTGCTGAGGATGCTACGATGATAGTTATCATAAGAGTTATCATCCTTATCATCTTCATGATGAATGTCATCATAGTCATCGCCTTCATCATCGTCATCATGATGTTCATCATCATATCATCTCTTTCTTTTATATATATCAAATGCGGCGTCAGGCACCCTTGGTAATGCAGAGGATGCTACGATGATAGTTAACATGACAGTCATCGGCAGCTCTTTGGGTAATGCGGAGGATGCTACGAGGATAGTTATCATGACACTCATCGGCGGCTTTGGTAATGCGGAGGATGCTTCGATGATAGTTATCATGACGGCAGAGGATGCTACGATGATGGTCGTCATAAGAGTTATCATCCTTATCATCTTCATGAGGATTGTCATCACAGTCATCGCTTTCATCATCGTCATCGTGATTGTTATCATCATGTGTTTCTTCTATACATTTCAAATGTGGCGTTAGGCACCATTGGTAATGCAGAGGATGCTGTGATGATACTTATTGTGACAGTCGTCATCCTTATCATCGTTATACGTATGATCATCATGATCTCTGCTTCTGCAGCAACGGTCATGCAGGGGATGCTACGATGATAGTTATCATGACAGTCATCGGCAGCTTTGGTACTGAAGAGGATGCTGCGATGATACTTGTCATGACGGCGCAGGATGCTACCATGATAGGTGTCCTGGGAGTTATCATCCTTATCATCTTCATGATGGTTGTCATCATAGTCATCACCGTCATCATCGTCATCATGATTATCAGCATCATCCCTTTCTTCTATACATTTCAAATGTGGCGTTAGGCACCCTCAGTAATGCAGAGGATGCTGCGATGATAGTTATCATGACAGTCATCCGCAGCTTTGGCAATGCAAAGGATGCTACGATGCGAAATATCACAAGAGTCATCATCCTTATCATCTTCATGATGATTGTCATCATAGTCATCACCGTCATCATCGTCATCATGATTGTCCTCATCATCTCTTTATTCTACACATTTCAAATGTGGCGTTAGGCACTCTTGGTAATGCAGAGGAAGCTACGATGATAGTTATCATAGCCGTCATCCGCAGCTCTGTCAATGCAGAGGATGATAGTTATCATAACAGTCATCATCCTTATCATCTTCATGATGATTGTCATCAAAGTCATCATCTTTATCATCGCCATCATGATTGTCCTCATCATCTCTTTCTTCTATACACTTCAAATGTGGCGTTAGGCACCCTTGGTAATGCAGAGGATGCTACGATGATAGTTATCATAACCGTCATCCGCAGCTCTGGTAATGCAGAGGATGCTACGATGATAGTTATCATAACAGTCATCATCCTTATCATCTTTATGATGATTGTCATCATAGTCATCATCTTTATCATCGTCGTCATGATTGTCCTCATCATCTCTTTCTTCTATACATTCCAAATGTGGCGTTAGGCACCCTTGGTAATGCAGAGGATGCTACGATGACAGTTATCATGACAGTCATCCACAGCTTTGGTACTGCAGAGGATGCTACGATGATAGTTATCATAAGAGTCATCATCCTTATCATCTTCATGATGATTGTCATCATAGTCATCGCCTTCATCATCGTCATCATGATTGTCATCATCATCTCTTTCTTTTATACATTTCAAATGTGGCGTTAGGCGCCCTTGGTAATGCAGAGGCTGCTACGATGATAGTTATCATGACAGTCATCCGCAGCTTTGGTACTGCAGAGGATGCTACGACGATAGTTATCATAACAGTCATCATCCTTATTATCTTCATGATGATTGTCATCATAGGCATCATCTTTATCATCGTCATCATGATTGTCCTCATCATCTCTTTCTTGTATACATTCCAAATGTGGCGTTAGGCACCCTTGGTAATGCAGAGGATGCGACGATGATAGTTATCATGACAGTCATCCGCAGCTTTGGTACTGCAGAGGACGCTACGATGATAGTTATCATAAGAGTCATCATCCTTATCATCTTCATGATGATTGTCATCATAGTCATCGCCTTCATCATTGCCATCATGATTGTCATCATCATAGCATCTCTTTCTTTTATACATTTCAAATGTGGCGTTAGGCACCCTCAGTAATGCAGAGGATGCTACGATGATAGTTATCATGACAGTCATCCGCAGCTTTGGTACTGCAGAGGATGCTACGATGATAGTTATCATAACAGTCATCATCTTTATCATCTTCATGATGATTGTCATCATAGTCATCATGATTATCAGCATCATCTCTTTCTTCTATACATTCCAAATGTGGCGTTAGGTACCCTTGGTAGCGCAGAGGATGTTGCGATGATACTTATCATGACAGTCATCCGCAGCTTTGGCAATGCAAAGGATGCTACAATGATAGTTATCATAAGAGTCATCATCCTTATCATCTTCATGATGATAAGCATAATAGTCATCACCGTCATCATCGTCATCATGATTGTCATCATCATCTCTTTCTTCTATAGATTTCACATGTGGCGTTAGGCACCCTTGGTAATGCAGAGGATGCTACGATGATAGTTATCATAACCGTCATCCGCAGCTCTGGTAATGCAGAGGATGCTACGATGATAGTTATCATAACAGTCATCATCCTTATCATCTTCATGATGATTGTCATCATAGTTATCACCGTCATCATCGTCATCATGATTGTCATCATAGTTATCACCATCATCATCGTCATCATCATTGTCATCATCTCCTTCTTCTACTTCTATAATCATCATCGTCATCATGATTTCAAATATGGCGTTAGGCACCCTTGGTAACGCAGAGGGTGCTACGATGATAGTTATCATGACAGTTATCCGTAGCTTTGGAAATGCAGGGGATGCTACGATGATAGTTATCATAAGAGTCATCATCCTTATCATCTTCATGATGATTGTCATGACAGTCATCGCCTTCATCATCGTCATCGTGGTTGTTAT